TAGGTGAGACACAGCGTGCGCTGAACTGAGCCCACCCTTTAATCCTGAGGTTCATCTGCCGGGGCCGAGCAAGCTTGGACAGTGGCAGTGAGGTCCTCAGAACGTAGGTTTGTTTAGAGTGACCTTCTCTTAGATGGATTGCCTCACAGGGCTAACGAGCTCCATCTGCCCGGGGGGCCGGGAATCGAACCCGGGTCGCAGTGGTGAGAGTGCTGCACCTTAACCACTAGAAAGACAAGTTTTTATACTGTGAAGAATAAACACACTTAATACTAGGGAATAAAAAAGAAAAGTAGCCACTAATATATATGCAAAACACAAGTTTCCCTGTTGTAATGTTGGTGATATCAGTGGGGGAATGCTGAGCACAGTCTCAAAACACTGTGTCTTAAAAAGAAAGAAAGACAGAATAAGAAAGATAAAACTTTACTGGACTTAAACAGTGCCCTCTTTCTCATAGGATTCAGGTTTTCTGGTAGAATGCACACGCCCTTTGTTAGGAAAATAGCAAATGTCCTCAAGGAGTGATAGCACTCTTACTAGAGGGGAAAAAAAAGACAAAGATTAGAATAAAAATAAGTAAGTAAACAAATTATGTGTTTAAAATTCCTCCTGCTTATGTGTAAGCACTCTATCTTGGAAATCATCTGTCCCAGACACTTATGAGCTTCTGTGGTTGACAAACAATAATTAGAGCAGTAATCTCTAAAGGTAATTCCAGGAAGGTAAATAAAAGATGTGGCACAAAATATGTCATACTGTTAAAGATTTTATGTTCTTACCAAATTTTTAACTTTAGCCTACAATTTTAGGATCATTTTCTCTGTAAATTTAAACTAGATATTTCAGATTTGTGCCACTCAATCAGCAACTAGATCTAGTCTCACCTATCATTCTTTAGAAGACTACATAATTGTCTGAATACTGTAATTCCAAATCATAACTCTGTTTTCTTTAATATATAAAGAAATAAACTAACCTGCAAGGAGGGAGCTGAGTGGTTGACAATTTTCCACTCTGAAATAGGATTGAATTTACTCTGCAGTTCAGTCTGTCACAGCAGATCAAGGGAGGTGATCCTTCCCCTTTATTCGACACTGGTGATGTCACACCTGTAATACTGTGTCCAGTTCTGGTCTCAGCACAAGGGAGACAAGGACATACTGAAGAAAGTCCACAGAAAGGCCATGAGGATGATGGAGGGACTGGAGCAGCTCATATAAGGAAAGGCTGAGAGACAGACCTGGAACTGTGAAGCCTAGATTACCTCAGGGAGGTTCTCGTTGCCATATATAAATACCCAAAGAGATGGTGCAATGAGAATGGGGCCAGACTCTTTTCAGCAGTGCCCAGTGAGAGGACCAGAGGCAATCAGCACTAACTGAAACACAGGAGGTTCCATCTGAACATCAGGAAACACATTTTTATTGTGAGGATAACCAAGCCCTATCACGAGTTGCTCAGTGAGTTTGTGATCTTAGAGATGTTCATGGTCCTGGGCAACTGTCTGTAAGCAGTTCTTGAGAAAGGGGATTGGATCAGGTCACCTCCAGATTCCTCTTGCAATCTGTGATTCTGTGATCTGTCTTCATGTGGAGGATTCATATTCGTATTTTAGAAATATAGATTAAAATTTCTAAATATAGGACTTAATTTAAACATCTCATGCTTTTGAGAAACTACTGCATACTGACTTAACTTCACAAAGTCATATTCTGTCTGCCAGGTCTGTGCAGATGTCTCAGATGCCATACAACATGTAAAATGGCATTCTGTGGGAGCACCTAAATCAAGAAAGCACCTGTATCAAGAGTGAGGCACATATATATGATAGGTGGGGGTTTTTTTAATGAAAGTAAATAGAAGAAATACAAAAATCTCTACTTAAAGATGGAGTTTGAAGACTCATTCTTCATTTCTTTAGTCTAGCTCTAACCCCTATTGGCGCTTACCCTGCAAGAGACATTCATTTCACCAAGCAATGCCAGTTCTCCGCACTTCAGAGGTAATTTTTCTACTGAAAGTCATTATCTATTCTGTGTGCTCTTTGAGAACTTCCATAAATAACTTCAGAATTAGGGGTATTATGGCTTGTGTGAAACTTAAAAAAATCTATAAATGGTTGCTAACCAGGGTGACCAGAGTGGAGTTCAAATTAAACTTCACATATTTCTCAAGTTACTCTAAATACTGTGCTAGGACTTGGTATAAATTAGGCCGAACATGATGTCTTTTGATCTGATCATAATATGTTTTTCCACTGTTTCCCATGTCTTTATTTCCTGATTTTTTCCCCTCCATTTTCATCATGGGCTTTAGCCCCAGTTAATCCCATCCCAAATTTCAAGTCATTCTAATCATATCATTCTAGCTGTAGTCCCATATATATATATAAAATATATTTCTTGATTATCAAAAAGATTAAACATAAGATGCTCAGATCAATTTAATAGAAAACTCTCTTGCCCTTTTAATATTTTTCATGATCATGCTGTTGAAAAACGTAGGTATTTATTAGAACAAGTAAACAGAGCCAGTAAATTAGTATGTCAAAACACAGAAAGAGTTGCAACAGAATCTAAACTTCCATCATATGTTCCCACATGTTTATTTGAAACATAGGTAGGATAATCTGCTTTCTTTTTCTACATGCTGGAATCAGTAAAACACTTTTACACTCTAGAACACAGCATCACTTAAGCAAAGTATAATTTTTCCTGAGAAGTCCACTGGACATTTCAGAATGGAAATAGTCATATGCAGGTTATAGTAGATGCTGCATTAAAATATTTTTTTAAAGAAAAATTAGTACACAGCATGCAAGAGCCAGTTATGGAAATGACAGCCCAAGATTAGCATGCTGAAATACTTTTTAATTCAACAAATAGTGAAATCAACTTGTTCCTTCTGTAATAGATGGCTATGACAGAGCTAAAAAGCTCAAAATATTTTTGTAGTTCCCTGTCTAATTAACATTTCTCATGTATGACCTACATTTCCCATAACTGTAACTGCAGAGATCCCCAAAAGCCCACTTTTTGTCTGAAAAATCTTTTGTAACCTGTTTAAGACATCGAAGGCAGAGCAATCAATGTTTATACACCTTCTTCCATTGGAAATAAGTGACAAAGTCATGTTGGAAATAAGTGACAAAATAAAGTCATATTGCTGCAGCAATTTGCAGATGAAAACCTTTCCATACTAGTATATCTCACTTGACTCTAATGGAAGCTTACAGATGCTGTGCTGTAATTACATATGTTTAGGCTATACAGAAAATATTCTGCATGAGTTACATTCCATTTATATTTTTTCCAGTTGCTTTTTCATTTTAACTATCTTTTTTTCTTTTAGAAAGAAAAATATAGAAAGAAAATAGACTGAGCGTTTTAATGCCAGCGATGTCAGCTAAGTTTCAGATATAATCAGAATCTAACACATTCTAGATAGATTTACTGTCAGAATATGTTTATGGAAAATGCATTATTGCAGTCAATGAGAATATAAATATTTATTTTAAGGAAAAATACTGAAGTCTACTTTACTAAATCGTTTTGAAATTACTTTTTATTTTTATCTATGTTTTGACATTAAACTCTGTGCTGGATGAATTATATAAAAATGTACCTTTTGTGTTTTTTTTTCTCTAACCTGCTAATGGAGTGAAGCCTGAAACACTGATTTCAATGTCTAGGTCAGTCCAGTCTTGTCACTTTCTACTTAGTATAGTAATTTGTACTGAAAAAATGCTACAAATGTACCAATTACAAGCCAAAGGGAAAAAAAAGAAAATGAAGGAGAACTAGTGCAGAGATATTTGAAATTTATACTTCATATAAACGTATTGTTTCCCTAGTTATTCTGAAATTTTGTTTCCTCTAAGGAAGATGACCTTGTATTTTTATTCTGGTTTTTATAAGCAACCCCAAAAAGCATATGGAATTGACTAGAGAATTGCAGAGAAAGAAAAAAAATCCATAAAACTAAAGGGAGATAAACTTCTGAATCTATAGGACACCAAGAACAATATTTCTTTATAAGTTTGGAGAAAAAAAAGTGTCTTTGAATTCTCTGAGCTTATGAGTAATCAAAGAATATGCATGGACTACACTACATATTAAAAATAATTATATATCATACAAGTTTATTTTTAACGATCCAGTAGCATGGTTAACACCAGAATATTTTTTTCTTTTTCCCACGATTAACCTGTTATGATTTTACCATGTTATATATACTCATGCTAAAAAGTGTGTCTATTCATATACTGTAGAAATGAGTTACAGTTATACATAAAATTTTCACGCTTAATGAATTCAAGATAGCGACTTGAGGGATAGAGTTGAACGGAAAAAAGTGTCTACCTGGGACAGTGAGAGAACCTCCTCCTTGTCTACCCTGTCTTCCCAGGTGTCCTCACACAACCAGCGTGAGACTCTGGAATTAAAAGAACAGGGACATCCATCTATGTTAGAGGAGTCACCAAGGTCAGACCAGTTTATCCTCTACATCATTATCACCTCCAGCAAAGATGGTGAAATGTCTAGAGGACATAAATTATGAAGAGCGACTGAGGATATGAGTTTTGTTGAGCTTAAAAAAGAGAAGACTGGTGCGGCGGGTGAGGGGGCTGGGGAGTGACCCCACTACTGCCTGCGATTTCCTCATGAAGGGGAGCAGAGGCAGGTGCAGATCTATTCTCTCTGCTGATCAGTGATAGGACATGAAGGATTGACTTGGAGCTTTGACAGGGGAAGTTCAGATTAGATATTAGAAAAAACTTCTAAGGTAAGGGACTGTCAAGTGCCAGTACAAGCTCCCTAGGGAACTGATCATGGCCCGAACACTGTCAGTGTTCAAGAAACATTTTAGAAACGTGATTTAACTTCTATTTTGCCCTGTGTGGAGTCAGGAGTTGGACTCGAAGATCCTTCTGGATCTCTTCCTGATGAGGACATTCTATGAAGCTATGAGCTCACATCTCATCTTGTCAACTTTTTAAACTGGGCAAGTGAACCCATTTTGTTTGTGTGCCCTCTTTACTGAGTAGAGCCATGATAGGTAATAATCACATTGCCTTTACTTCCTTGATTGAAATCATGACTGGAAAAGAAAAATTGGTCAGAGTTTAAAATGTTGTTCTTATCTTTATCTGTGTAAAGGAAAAAGTGTTAATCTGGCCTCACAGGCTCACACTACTTGGTTGATAGATGTTGGTAATCTCATTTTAATGTCACTGTGAACAAGGATTATATACATCCCAAAATCTCTGTTTTTGAAACAGATGGAATAATTTGAAACATAAATAAATAAAAAAAGATATGAACATTACCTTGAAAAATAGACATAAACAATTTACATTTCATTTTATATATCAGTAGGGGGAAACTATTCACTAATATGTACAGGATACCTGTATATTCTATTTATTAGATTTTTTTGAGACTCTATTTTTATTTAACCTTTTAGGTAACAGTCCACCATCCCTTCTGTTTCCACCAGGCAAATAATATATACCCATGAGAGTGATTTTTTTTATTTTTTTATTAACCCAGATGATTTATCTCATCATGTCCATTACAGAGAGAACTGTCTTACACTGATGGTAAACTCATATTGAAATTCCTTCTTTCCCACAGCTTTCTAAAAAAAATATATAATTATCTTGCATTTTTCCTGTTTTCAGTTAGAGTTTCTTACAATAGAAAATATTTGAAAGATCTATTAACCTTCATGATTCATTGGAAAATCTTAACCAAAGCTAAGCTCAAAAAGATTTTTCTGGAAATGGTCCGACATTAACATCCACTAAATTATTGTCTTTTATTCATTAATCTTGCTCTGAAACATGTGATACAACACTTCAGGGGAAAAAAGACAACTATTCTAAGGTTTCTGAGTGATATTATTCCTTTCTAAATTATAGTGTAGGCTTCTGAATACATATATATTGATTAGCTTGTTATACAAGTTAAGGGCAAGGACTCTTTATTTTATTCTTTTTATAAGTCAAGTGTCAATTTTTTTTTTTAATCTTTTTTCATTGCCTTCTAAGTTGGTGTAAGCTAACTTCTTTTTAATGTAGACAATCACTTTAAAGCAGAGGAACATCTGGTCAGATGAGTCTAGCTAAGGCAAAAATGCAAGAAGTCTTTCCACACTAAAGATACTTGGGTGAGATATATAGAATCTGATCATAGCTTCCCCTTACTCCCTTTTAAGCAAAAGAGAAAATCATAATTTTAAAAGGTTATTTATGTTTAAAAGGATTTTGATTTAGACTTTTAATACTTAATAAAGCACTGAAGTCTAGAGATATTTTTAGATCTCTACTGCGAGGATTGTAGAAATGACAAAGGCTTTTCAGAAAGGGCGCTCCAAAGTCCAGGAAGCAATTAACACAATTTGTGGCAAACAGTTAACATGGATCATGGAGACTGATAGAAATCTTTGAACTACAGACCAATCAGCTTCACTTCACTTCTTGGAAAAATCATCAAACAAGTCCTCTTGGAACATATTTCTGGGCACATGTAAGAGGTTTAGTAGCCTCGATCCTCAGATGTATTCTAAACCTTTTTTGAAAACATAGTTATCAGCCTAGTATGGCCACATACTTGAGCCTGCTTTCAACAGGAAGTTGGCCTAAATGATCTGCATTCCGGTCTGAATTACCCTAGGAACCTATGATCCTACAGTATGAATTGGAAGTAAAGAAAAGGAAACAACTCAGTGACCATGGCACAGTACCAGAATATTTTCCAGGCAGTCTTTCAAATCTGTATCATTGAATACTAGAGTGTTCATACAGATGGGCTGGTACTTTGATGTAATCTAATTATGAACAAATATGAGTTATTTTGAACAGTTTATAAGTAAATGTTTTCTCGGAGGACTCATACAGTCCATCAAAAAAAAAAAAAGGGAAACAATTTTATTTTTCAAAAGCAGATGGGAAGTGCAAAATTCATATTATCTGTAAAACTTTTGCTCCAGGTAAGGTTTTTCTGGGGAGGGAGTCTTGGCTTGAGGGTGAGGGGAGGATTGTCCTTTTTTATCCAGGATATAAAACTTTGACTTAACCAGAAGTTAAAGTTTGATTCAATAAAAAAAAAAATCCCTCTTATAAAGCAACAGTAATAACACTGATTTAATCTATAAGGTGCTGGTTTATTATCCTAGGTGAAAGACTAACTCCCATTCTTCCACTGTTTGTCTGTTTCCCTCTATTATAATAGATCAGATATCCTCCTTATATTTTCCAGTGTTTGCTGCTATTTTTATTACAGGACTAGCAATTTACTCTTACTTTCATTCTAAAAGTATTTTGATATCCTTTTCCCAGATAAGCTTTCTCTAGCTTTGAAGAAATAGGAATCATCTCATCATGTAATTTAGTACACCCAAGATACATTCAAAACCTGTGATTGCATATAACCATGACAATTTTTTACTTAAAATACTCAAACTACTATACATGATTATTTTTAAACTAGCTATTTAAAGAAGATCTGATGGCATCTCAAGGTTATTATAAGAACAAAAAGAACGTAGGAAAGAAAGAATTCTTGCTTATTTGTTTTCCTACATTACAGATCATTTTTTGTCTCACTAGGAGTGTCAGTGGCATTCCTTTTCAATACCCTGTGCCTGTCTTGTTCGTTGGAAAAAAACCCAAAAAGATTTTTCTTTATGTTTCAGTGTCTCCATGGGTGAATATTAAGGTAACTGGATTTGATTATCTTCTCAATAATATAGCCTTGCAAGACCAATCTTAAAATTAAAAGGGAAGGAGAACTTACTAGAAGAACAATGCAATGATGATTTAACTGGACAAAACTCTGAACAGAGAATGAAATTATTTGTCCCCAGCAACACAAACCAGCAAAGGGTTCAGCTATGAAGATTAAGATAAATAACCCTAAGGGCAAGGATTGTTCATAACTAGTTAGAAAAATGTATTCAAAATCTGATCCATCCTCATTTGGCTTTTCAAGTCAAAATGCTATTTTTAAAAGCAAGTCAATATGATACAATGTCTGCTCTGTGTCAAAACAATACGCAGCAAAACTATAGATATCTATATCAAAAATGCACAGAAAATGTTGATATAAACACATACATTCATGTGTGACAGCGTACAGGATGAAGTTCAAAGATGCTAATATATCTAAGATAGAAAATACAATTCACACAAATAAAGAGAATGGTGGTTTTCATGTACTGGGAAGGTTACTCTTAATGACTCTGGAGGACAATTTCTGATGGAGAGACTAGGGAGAACAACTGATTATTGTTAGGAAAAAACAGAGGAGCTGTGAAAGTAACTGGGACCAGGGAGAGGGAGATAATTCTGCAGACTCTCTCAAGGACTAGACAGCAGCAACAAGTGAATTTAAGACAACCATTGTAAGAAGGGCTCCTAAAATAATGATTCATCATTATTAAAATAATTAATATCTATCTAAAAAGTACTGCAGCATTATATTCTGAGGCATTATAGAAAAGTCAGTACACAACCTGTACATGGGTATAAAGCTTCCTAACGCCTTTGAATGAAGGAGAGTAATCAAGATTCATTGGAAAGATCAGGTTTGATCTGAAGTGTTAGCCAAGAAGCAGGTGTTCTTCTGTACTATGGATATATTCAGAGGGACTTAATAAATTTTAAGCATATTATTCTAATTACTCTTATACACTTGTGAGGTCGTGCAGTTTTACATCCTAGTCATTGCACAGTTTCATCAAAAAACGTACATTGTACAAAGTCAATTAAATAAAGCTACATGCACTTAAATCCCATATAGAAGTTTTAAATTCTGACTCTGTTATCTTTGCAGAGGTAATTTTGTTTAAATACAGTAGAGAAACCTGTTGTTGAGTCTGCTTAGATTTCTGCAGGTCTGTGGTCATGTGTTGTTGTTACTGGTCACAGACACAAGCTTTTTATCAGTTTAATAACACTGACTTGCAAAACGTAGCAAGCCTTTTTGGACTGTCTATTCTTAAGACAAAAAGTAATCTAATGAGATGGTAACAAATGCCTGTCTTGATTTTAGCCATACCTTAGCTGTGTGCAATTGCTTTTACCCTACAAATATGCCATATGTGGTAAAGCTTTAAAAAACAGTAATCGTTGTACAATTAAACTTATGGACCGACAAGAAACGTATGTCAGCAGCAGACAATTTGAAACAAGGAAAGTAACTCCAAGACAAGTTAAAATGGAGGGGGCAATAACTTTCACCATCAATGTCCTTCTTCTAGCAAAAAACTCAGGGCACTGATGTCTCAGTGTAACCACCCGTCTGGGGAAGACAGAGCTTGACCTCAGCTTGAGAGTACTTGAAAGAGTGACCATAACACCACAGGAAAGGGCAGATATTAACAGGTTTGTGCATAACTGAAATTGTATTATTAATGAGAAATAAATGCAACAGGCAGAAAATTTGGACTACAGGTGTTAATGTAATTTTAAATGAACTGGTAAAACCATTCAGATTTTATATTTGACCAATGTTATCTTCTCATCTCCATATATATAAAGCATTTTTCTTTCACTCACGTAAAGTACGCTTGATGTATTTTGCTCAATACAGCAGTTCAGACTCATGCAACTTTTGAACCGGGTATATTTCTTGTAAGATCATAATTGAAAAATAAGAAAATAAATTTGCAGACACGGATCTAGAATTTTAAGTGTTCCTCTCCTCTAGGTAAATCCTCTGGCATAATTTGTTATTTATTTGTTTCTCTGTTCCCAACTACCTCTAATTCTATCATCCCAGGGCGCACTGGAAATATCTTTACTTATGATATTCATGATCTAATGGAGAAGATACCTGTAGGATAGGAAAGCTAAACTGTGTCTTTCTCAACCTCATACATTAGAAGGTAGATTCTTATTCCATGAGTGGATGCTTTCACTCTACAAGTATTTTGTAAAAACAGTCATACTTCTCCAGTCTGTGCCCGTCTCCTAGAAGGACCAAGATCCTAAGTGGATGTTTACATATAAGAGAGTTGGGATTGATCTTATAGCAGCCTTCCAGTACCTAGAGAGTAAAAAAAAGGGAGAAAAAAAAAGAGGGAGAACAACTTTTTACACAGGCAGATACTGATAAGACAAGAGGGAATGATTTTAAACTAAGAGTGAAGATTTACATTAGATGTTAGGAAGAAATTCTTCACTCAGCGGGTAGTGTGGCACTGAACAGATTGCCCAGAGAAGTGGATTTCTGGAAGTGTTTAAGGCCAGGTTGGATGGGATCCTGAGCGACGTGATCTAGTGGGTAGTATCCCTGCCCATGGCAGAGGGGTTGGAATCAACTGATCTTTAAGGTCCCATCTAACCGAAGTCATTCTACAACTCTATAATTCTGTGATTTCCTGTGATCCTTTGTACTCTAAGAGGAAAAAGTAGAAAACAAATACAAACAGCATCCTTTGAAGGCCTTGAAAGAAAAGATACATTAAGTGGAAAGGCAAAGCATCAAAATTATGTGGATTGATTTATTCACCCCTGCCTGTTCATTGACTGCATAGAGAATTTATTCAGTTAGATTCAACAGACTATACCAACTCCAGTGAGACTGAAAGTCTAAAATGCTAGTGGGGCATTCTTCTTCCTCTGAACAAAAGATACGATGTCCTGTATTACCTTTGTCTGAATGAACAGATTTGCATTACAAATCTGGATCTACATGGATCCAGAGTTGTTTAAACTTAATATTATTTCTCATTCTCATTGCAGTCATGCAGAACTACAATGTGCTGCTTTCTCACAGCTATAATAGTTGTCTCACAACTCATTTACAATAATTTTATTGCCTCATATGTTCTATGAATTATAACCGTGTACCTCTACATTGATCTTTACAGTATTCATTTTTTTGACTGGCAGGACATTTAACTTATTTTCCTGTTTATTGCCTTAGCAACGTACTCATTAGACTCTGACCAGGTTCAGATAATGAGGGCAATAGAAACAGATACTAACTGCCTATATCAAATATGTTAGAGCAGACAGAAGTAGAAAGCAAATAATTTCAATAGATTTCAAATCAGTTTATCCCCAGTTATCAACTTTCAAATTATTCTTAAACACTTGGGTCCTTCTCTAATGTATTCCTGAAATATGCTTCATTGTATTGAAAAAAGAAGAAACTCGTATGTTCACTGTGAAATTTTATTCATACAGGGTTACCTGAGAAAATGAACAAAATTAAACAGACAGTGAAAGTAATTATTGTTCTGTGTTTTAATATAGTCAAAATGAGAACAAAATTTTGTTTCCATCTAAAGTACTTGATTTTTTGTCTGATTTCAAAGCAGGAAGGCATACCACTTGAGTATGATAAAATGGCAACTTCTCTTGGCTGACCTTTTGGAAACAATTCCTTATGTAATTTTTAAAATTAGACCATTTGGTAGTTGCTTATCGATCTTATTTATTTTAAATAAATCCCCAAATGAATCTTCTTTTTAATATAAGAAGCATTCTTGTTATCTGAAATTGCACAGTCTATTCTTATGTGAATTTTTCTTATCATGAAAGAACCTATTCCTACAATTCATTAAAAACTCCAATCTATTTTTCTCCTAGCAGTATTATCATTACCTTTTTAATCATTACCTTTACTAATCATTACCTTTACTAATCATTACTTTTGTTATACAATTTTTGTTCATGTGTTCATTTTATTCATTTTTTGTTATTTCATTTTGTGATTCTGTAACCAAAAAATTTGCTCATTTTTGAAGAACAAATTCTGTGCTAGATCAAATTTGAACTATCTCTTCACAGAAAAAATATTTAAGATGTATTAAAGAGTATGAAGTTAATTGTATATTATCCATATTTGTCTTAGAAAATATTTCTAGACGGTACTGTAACGAAATCTGAGGTTCAGCATATCCACAGACTCAGCACTATATTGTTTTTATATGAGCTGAGAAAAACGGTAATACAAAGCATTTTCCAGAGCTGATGGTACTTTTAAGTCTTGCAGAAACACATGATAAGGAAAATACCAGGAACTTCTGATGAAGAGACTAATGACATACAATCCTTCTTATTAATAAAATTTTTATGTCTCTAGTCTCTTCTTCACTAAAAAGTAGTTCCTGATATTTTCCTTACTATGATCAACCAGAAAGAAAAACAACAAAAAATGACCAACACAGGAGCCATGCAATCACATGGGAAAGCCTGAAACATATTTTCTAAAATTGTTCATGAGAGAACTCGAAAAGAATCTAAAGACAGTAAAAGAAGATGTGATGTAATTTTTTTGTTGGCCTAGTTTCTGGTATAATCCACAAATGACAGAGACCGTGACGAAACAAAAGAGGGAGATTTGATGTCGGTACCTTACGCTTTCACTGTTTAGGGTTTTTTTCAGGAATCTGCACGGAAGAAATGAGAGGTGCCCATTCAAATAATTTTCAGAAAGTAAACATATGCAATCTGTATATTTTAGTTGTTTGGTTTGCAGGGTATGTGTGTGAAATGTCTGTGTTCTTAAAAATATGTGTATGTTTCTCCATGTTACTTATGGTACAAAAATCAAAAGACCCTATTAGTATTCATATGTATTATGGTGTTATTTGATAACTACTATCAGAAATTTAAAATATTAGCTGCACTCTAAAAGAAGACATTTTACCTCAATATCACTTTGGAAAAAAGGCAGGTAGGACTGTGATTTCAAAGAATAAAATATTCCCAGAAAAAGAAGAAAACAAATGTTGACGAAGTTTCAACAGAGAGAGTCTATAAAAGAGACTTCTTTGTTTGCTCAGGAAAGTCAGTATCTAGCCAGTTAGAGTCTAAGTTTCCGCCAGGTTCTCCCATACTCATAACTGTAAAATTATGAGAGGAGTAATACTTCTTAAGGCACTTTGCATGACAGTATGTTTAATTTACATTTAGGATTAATATACTGGAAATTAATAGAGATAGTTATTCATCTTGTGTCAGAGTGTTCTTGCACTGGGTAGATAAAGGAAGTATAAGTGAGAGAGATGAAGTAGGAATCCAGCTATCATCCTTTAAGGACCTGTACAACTAAAGAGCCAGGTGAAGAAGAAAGAGAGAAAAGCAATAATGAAGAGGTTTTAAAATTCAGAAATGAAGCCATAGATAAATGAGAGAAGAAAAGTGGAGTAATTCTTGAATTCCTCTCATCTTTGCATATGTACAGTGATGTAGGGGAAATTGAGGCACTGGGCTATGTATACTAATGATCTGTTTTGATATCTTCTCAAGCTACTTAAAAAAATCTAAAAGAAGCTTGGCAGCACTTGTAAAAGCACGATATCAATTGTCTTCACTTTTTACAAGTAATTTTAAATTATATCTCATCATGCCAGCATTCTGGGACAGGATTTTTTTGGTTAACTTAGTGTCTGTGAAGGGAGCTGCAAAAAGGATCTAAACCAGTTGATTGCAGTTCATGGATAGCCTGTGTGAGATTTATTTCATATAACTTTAGAACTTTGTGATGCAGTCACCTGGGTTCCCTCATAGCTCATTCACAGAAGATTTTCCACCTTAAAATTACCTATTTTAATAATATCTCATTCATCTGTACCTGGACAAAAGGACGAAGCTAAGGCAGGCAACACTCTACTGTAGGTCATGCTCTATCTTGAAGATTTTGGGCTCAGAGGATAAGACTCACATAGAGAAATTTACCATGTGTGGCTGACTGTAAGGTTTACTCTGAGAGATTAAAGTTGTAAGCATCGCCTATAGTGCATTTAGTAGAGAGAGAATCTTGAGAAAATCACCGAGTCCTGTGCTGTAAACCCTATAACATCACCTCTATACGAAATAAGTTCTTTTGATAGAATGGTTCAGGAACACTCATAGACACAATGTGGTTAGCATCTCATTTGAAACACAGATTTCGAAAGTAATTTATGCAGACAAAATACTTTACAGGATGTAGTTATAAGATTATTCAGTTTCATATTTTTTGTTATTTTTCTTTGAATGAGGGTATTAAAGTAAATTAAGCTAAATGTCATTCTTGTACTACTGGGATTTATTTTTCTTTTTAACTAAGTCTTTGTAGCCAATGTCAGTGTTCTCAGAACAGTTTCAGAGGATTCAGTATCTTTTCAGATAATGTAACTCCCTATGGCACTAGAAATGTCACACATACACACACATACAAAAAAAAGAAACTATTTTTTCCTAATTTTTGCAGTGAGAGAGTGGCTGTTTCTCCAATTTCCTATTCTGTGATTCCTGACAAATCAGAAAGAGATATAACTGTGGGATACCAGAGGGAAAGAAAATTGCTGATGAAAGCACTAATGTGCATCTGCTTGAGAATGTGGGATCAGGACATGGCCGGAGAGGACAGTATGAGCTCAGAAGCTTTTCTGTATCTGGCAGCTTGGATATGGTGTACAGGGTTCAGGCTACAGAAATCTTGAATCTTTAACTACTGGCACAGGAAAGGCACTGAGGTTTTAAAAGGGAAATAAAAGATTGCAGAATACCGTAGAACATTTTCTTCAGTTTAGGTAACGCTTAGCATCCAAGTAGAGGGCAAAGGTGCACCAGTGTGCATGTACTAGTGTTCTCATGCTAATATTCCAACAGAAATTTAATGGTATTTATTACAGCAGTCCAAAGTAACAAATCATTCACCCTTTAGAAGTAAATAGAGCCTATGGCTCCTGTGATTTACTGTCACACAAGTTAGAAATTTAGAACCTAAACAAATATTGTTGTTAATCTGTGACCCTGGGTGAAATGCATGATCTCATGATCAGACTAAACCATTTAATAGTCCCTCTGGCCTTAGATTCTACCATTATTCAAGTCCAAAGGAGGGCAACAAGATGGTGAAGGGCCTTGAGGAACAGCTGAGGTCTTTTGGTTTGTTCAGCCTGGAGGAGACTGAGGGGAAATCCATTGTAGTCTACAACTTCCTTAGGAGGGGAAGGGGAGGTGCAGGCACTGATCTCTTCTCTATGGTGACCACAGACAGGACATGGGGGAATGGCCTGAAGTTGTGTCAGGGGAAGTTTAGGTTGGATATTAGAAGAAGGTTTTTCCCTCAGAGGGTGGTCAAGCACTGGAACAGGCTTCTCAGAGAAGTGGTCATGGTGCCAAAGATTATATGTGCACAATCAATTCTGTATATAACTTAACTAAGATTTCAAAGTTTATCACTAAGTTAATCACTTAGTGGGGATCTGTTGTGACAAGGAATCCCTCAACCTAGAGGAGTAACCTTGAGGGGCACCCCTACTCAAGAGGAGATCCTGGTATGCAGCTCACAGCTGTGCAGGACAGCTCAACAGGCCCTCAGCTGTCCACTATTTATAGAGTAATGAATGACTTATAGTCAGATTTGCATACCATCAAGAGGTCTGGGTCACTGTTTCCAAACAGCCCTTGGCCACCATGCTGTCATCGGTTCCCCAAAATTTGGAGTAAGTTGGATGCAGCCATTATAGACCCCACTGGCAGTCATGGTTTATTTCATGATCTTTTAAAGAACTCCACAGTGTTGTATTTCTTGTATATTGCATCCAAAGTTGTTTAAATTGTCTTTATATAATTTTTTTTTTACTTGCTTACTTTATTGATCCTTTACAATATGTCATAGTGCTTCACTACAAAGAAAACACCACATACTTTGACTAAGTGAACACCGACAAAGATTAAGGATGAGTTAATGATATCTTTCTTCTCTTCACTTTTGTAGGCTCTCTCATCACTGGAACTCCGGGTGTTGTACAGGACTTGTTCATTCAGCCTGTGAGAGTGGTAAGTGTTGTTAACGTTCACTTCACCTACCACTGAAATGCAGCAAGGACTGAAGAACACACACAAGAAATTGAGGCAGAAAGTCTGGAAATATAGCACATCCAATTGAAACCCCAGGAAATATAGGTAGACAAAACCTATCCCCCCAAACTGGAATGAAGCCATAATAATAGGAACTAGTCTAATGAAGTGTATAATGGGATCTTTCGTTGCCTGATTCTCTGTTCTTATACAAATGAGGACATATCAAGAAGTACTAAACAGTTTATCAACAAGGGATTATGGACAAACTTGTGTCTGCTATCAAAATGCAAAATCAAGCATAGACAAAGAGCATTAGAATCCTATGGTTCTTGTCATAAGCAGCCCAGATTTTACTATTCCATTCTTATTAACTCTATCTCAGGACATTTGAGTCATCTATAAATATTAAAATGTGTCAGGCACGACATTAAACTCTTCAGGATGGAATTCACCAGATCTAATTTCAGCCATTTAAAGTTTAGTCACCTAGATTTAACTCTATTCAGTAGAGGCATCTCTCTCCCTCTCTCCCTTTCATTCTTCATTAGAGTTGAACACCCCACTAGACAGCTAACCTTTAGATGGCTAACATCAGAATAAAGGAACTACCTGCTGAGGGACTGACCTCTCCTGAAGGCCTTGCAATACAAATATTAAAATAAAAAGGAAAAAAACCCACCAAAACCAAATGAAACATAAACCCAAGAAAGACAAATAATAAAAGGCAAGAGGTCTAGAGTACCAAATATCTTAATTCAAGTTATTTTTGTGATCTGTAGAAAACGTTGGAATACACTTTACATTGCCAATACTGTGTTTTCATTTTGTCTGCTTCAGTTTCGTTGTGTTGGAATTGAGAGAAAGATGAGTTTCCATGGTTAATCCTATTTAAAAGGACAGCTTCTTTGTTCCTAATACCTTTATTTTTCATATTTCATCACAGTGGACATAAAACATGCTCAGTGTGTTAGTGCCCTGGAAACCATGGTGTCAGGACCATGTTGCCTAATATTTTATTTAAAAAACCCAAGTCTGTCTCAATTCTGTGCTCACTGTGCTTGCTATACAGAAGTCCATATGAAAACAAAACCAAAAAAAAGCATGATTAAATCTAATGTTCATTCTTGTGACATGCAATATTTTTACAGGCAGAGATGTCAACAAATAAATAGGCATAGTACTTTATACCACTTGATACTCCTTCTTTGAAATATGATTCAAGAGCAGAATGAAGATACATGCACTGCTAATGCTAAGGCTGCATTTGCTGGCAAGGTTATTTTAGATTTCATGGCAAGTGAAATTATTTCAACATGTAATGTAAAATGAAACACGTGGGAAGAGGGATTCCCAATTTCATATTTAACCTTCATATTTGTTTAAAAAATATTAACTTTAAGTTACTACACAGTAGCAACATGTTGGGCTTATTGATAGTTACACGAAAACGCCATCTGGAAATGGATGGAGTCTAACATACATATATGAAAGTGTCATATATCCTTGCCCTCTTCTCCTTATGTTACTTAGATACTTGGTTTTGGCTGCCATGTCAAAAAGCAAAATAATAGGCTAGATGGACCTTTAGTCTTGCTCCTTTTTATACTAAGAACTTAAACCTATTCTGTATCAGAATCACTGCTCACATTCAGTTCTGAAAAATTTGTAAGTTAAATGAAACTATTTTTCTTGTACAAGTAGTCACAAAGCAAATGAAAATAAGTGCAGACATTTCACATACCTTTGTAATGTTTATATGTGAAGATTAAAAATTAATATATATGACATTGATAACATTAAAACAAGAAGAAAAAAACCTAAAAAAATAACCCCTCCTGAGGTAATAACAGGATTGATGCTAAATAAAAGTTAATTTTTGCCAAAAACCATGTCTTCACTTCATATAAGATAAAAGTCATCCCATTAGTGATAATATACATATACTAAACCTCTACTTACAATGTAACTTCCCCATTTCAAGGGAACATTACTTTTGCTTTCAAAAGTTTTTATCGCAGTAAGATATTTTTGTCCAATTAACTAGAAGTATTCTAGAAATCTAGTTCTTCTGCCACTGTGACCTTGAACATTACAGAAGGTAGTGTTAGATAAATAGAGCAAGAATGGATAAACAATCTTTGCAATTATATAACAATAAATGAGGTATGACAGTTCAGTGTTACGATAAGAGACTCTGGGGCATTTCTTTATTTGCTTAGTTGTTTAATACAAACATCTGCATGATAAATTCTGTGTGCATGTCAACAGAATGTGTTCAAGGAGTTTCTATACTAGAGAGTTATTCACTAGTTAACATACTTATGAACTAAAAGAGCAGATTCAATAAAAATGTTTTAATTATAAAATGTATAAAGATGTAAAATAAAGTGGCAATGAAAACATGGAATTGATCCAATACCACAAAATGTAGTTTGCTGTAGTGTTAATCAACTAAACAGAGTTGAGAAATATTTCCTATATTTTTATAGGAAAGTGGGTCTGCAAAAAAGATAGGTTAAAATATTTAACCATTATGATGACATTTAGATTCCTCAGTAACAGTTTTGACATCTAAAGTTTCTTAATTTTTCAAATTGAATGCATTTAATGGGAGGCCAGATGTTCTCCATGTCATTTACAAAAAATGAAGATAGATAAACAGTCCAGAGGATGTTTCAGCTCACTAAATTGTCCTTTTTAGGTTTCCACTGATTATAGAAAAAATCTGAAGTGGCCATGCTCGCAGTTTTGGTACTTCAGCGAGGGTTCAGCAGGGTGCATCTATAATTTTTTTCTGTGCTTGTCTTTAAGCATAGGTAACAGCACATTTTTAAAAGGCAAATTACTTTTTTTCCTATGTGCTGAAATACCAAACAGTCTCAGAGAGAACAAAGATCCTTGAAATATGTATGGTTATAGTGTGAGTCAAGTTCTAATGCCCTTTGACCTTCTACAGTTTTGCAACTCCATTCCTGGCACAGAGATTTTGACTTTTTAGTAGGGACAGGACTTCATAATAAGCATTTTAAAATGACGGGTTATTGGAGGTTGGTGAACTACTTTTTCCATTACTACCAAGTTAAGAAGTTTTCTTCTTTGTTTTTGTTTTGGGGGGGTTTTTTGCCTTTTTTTTTGTTTTGTTTTGGGTTTTTTGTTTGGTTTTTGTTTGTTTATTTAATTTGGCATTTTTGTTTTATTATTTCATGATATTTTCAGGATTCAGTAAGACATATTCCTATTCTTATATATTATTTGACCTACTTACATAAGGAAAATACTATAATCTAATTTTTTAAAATATTCTGTTATAAAAAGTTTAGTACAATAATCAATGCCAAATCCACATGTGTGTGAACAGATAGAACTCAAGCCTAAATTACTACCGAGAATGCAAGCTACTGACAACTCATATATTTTTGGTTTTCACCACAAATAGTAACAAGATTAATATAAAAAAGTGTTATAACAAGTAATCACGGTAATAACAGCACAGTAGAAAAGCAAAACATGGAATACAGAAAAACAGTAGGGTCAGCTATGTGAAAATCACATGCTTTTTCTTATAAGTTATATTGTTTGACCTAGAACATAAAACATGTTCTTGTTTAGAAGTCAAGTGTAACAGTAGCAGAAAAAAAGATTTAATTGCTCAGTTATCTTTTAATTGTCAATCATAAATAAATAAAAACTGCCAGATAATTTAAAAAAGGGGGAAAAAGGGGAAAAAAGGGAAGAAAATGAAAGAAAAAATATGATAAAGTACTGTGTGTTTAATACAAATAGCTTGCAATAAAGCAACACAAATATAAATGTTGGAATTTCAAATTAATTGGACATCTAAATGGCACATTTTGCCCTGACATGCGTCAGATGGGATGAAACCATGAGTTCTGAAGGACTTTGCTGACATCATTACAAAACTACTCTTTGTTGTCTTAGAAAGATAAAAGTATCCTGATGTCTTCAAAAATGAAAATGTCACACTCATCTCCAAGAGCGGAAACAAGGAGAAAATAGGGAAAGGGATCAGTCTCATTTTAGTATCTGAAATGAGGATATCCTTTAGGCATTAATATTGGACCTGATTCTGTTTACAATCACTGTCAACAACCTGAGCATCAGATGAGAGTACATCAGCAGAACTGCATAAAACATTAAACTGGTAGAAGTAGAGAGAGACAGAGATTATGATCTCTGTTTAAACAATGCTAAATTTCTCTTGAAGCATAAATACATGCATTAATGTGAAAGACACTTTCATGGGATAAGAGAGAGATAATTCTTTAATTGATGGAGAGAAAGAAAAATATCTGCCAAAGAACAAGTTTAAAGAACAGTTAGACAGTGGAAGAAACGGAGCACAGTAATGGAAACCAGAAAGGGCTATTATTTCAAACAGAGTATGTTTAACAAGATTGAAGGCAGCTAGCCAGGAAAAGAAAGGATGAGGTACTTGAAATTAGAAAGTAATCACTAAACAAAAAATTACTTTGAACAGAGTAATTTGATTAAAGCATAAAGTATAGAATTTTCTTCTGGGAAGAAAGAGAGTATCATTGACCAAAAGAAACTCAATACGGACAGTATGACAAAGCATTCAGTAATGATAAAAAAAAAATTGAAATGGAAAAAGATGTAAAATACAGTAATATCTTAAGGTTGTAAAGAATATAACATGTTTTCAGTTTGACAAAAATTATATTGGAGCAAACAAGTGGTAAAGACAGCAGCAGCCTATTATAAAACACACCTACCTCTGACTCAGAAGAAAATTCTAAAAGGCAAATGGAAGATGAGGTAAAGAAGAAAAGATGGCCATAATGTTAATTGTATATTCAGAAATACAAATGTCTGTGGAAAAGGAAAGGCAAAGAATATTTGATTCTGAAAAATAATAAAGGAGAAAAAAATGGCTTGAACAGGTTACACAATTTTATTAAATTAGATAAGCAGGAATACTGAGAGAAAAATGTCTAACAGACACCCTTTTCAGTATACGATTCTATTTAAAAGAGATTTGCTTAAGTGTTTAAAACTGAAAAGATTTAAACATCTAGAGATGTATTTAGCACAGCTGTATGATGCTTTCTGTCATTCAAGAAAGCTTATGATTCGCAACTGAGTCATATCCACATATGGATACAGTATTTTCAAACCATATAAAAGGAAGTTTTCTATGAATGATCTAAGGTCCTATTCCACTGACTGTGTTTATGTTTTCTTGTTTTTTATTCTTCTTGATTACACAGGTGTATAAAATTTCTGTTAATGCATTCTGAGTATTATCAAGAGCTTCTGACAATGGTTAAAATCTGTTTCATGGAATTGATCCAAAAAATCCCCAAAGAAACTTAAGTAAATCATAACATTCGTTAAAAATATTAACAATTTACTCGTGGTTAGTGTTTTGGTATTGTTGTTTGGTTGGTTTTGTTTGGGTCTTTTTTGGTTTGGTTTGGCTTTCTTGTTCCTTTTTTTTTGTTAGAGTTTTTTCTTCTTTGTTTTAGGTTTTGTGTGGTGTGGGATTCAGTGTTTAAATCCATGCCAGAAGTCTGCTCCTCCTGCTTGGTATAAAATGTTGCTTACCTCAACACAACATCTACCTAGCAAAATGAAGGTGTAAGGACTCTTAAAGAATAAATGTGACTTAAACCCCTAGTGTTGATACCATTTGCAAGAGCTGAATGACTATGAGTATTATATATGTATTGTGACTTTACTCAAAGACAACAAGTGAGCTTGAGTTACTATGCATGAACGCTGGTCTCCCTAGTTTTCAGAGTTTGGTATTTACCTAGACACATGATTCCCAAAGGATGTATAATGCCACCTTCATTTTGCTCAAAGAGTATTCTTTGTCAATTATTTTTGTTGTTAAGTAGAGACTAGATTGTGAATAAAATAGTTCAGGCACAGAATTAGAAATGTGTTGCTGTCAAGGCAAGGAATCTCACTGTATCTGTGTTGTACAGTATTAGGTCAGCATATGGTGCATGGAAATGAATTACTATAATTATTAGTATTTGTTGTTCCTTCTTGAGGTCTTTGAGTCCTACAATTAAACTTGACAATACAGATAAAATATTAATAATTTTAAAGATTAACTGACTTGAAACAAACTATCATAATTAGTTGAGAATGTGTTTCCTCTTTTCATAAGTAATTCTGGTACTAGATGGTTGTTACAGTTTTCCATCCCTAATTTCTCTTTTCAGAAACACCATCTGTGTTGTCACTTGCACACACCACATTTGGTATCTTTCAGTGCTTTCTGCTTAGAAGTCAGTGAGCTGGAAGGAGTTCAAACAGGCAAAACAAAGAATCCAAGGACGGAGATTAAAAAAGCAAGGAAGACTAAGGGGGTGTTTATGTGGAAGAGTAAGAATTTTCTTAGAACAGAGTTGCAGTTGTAGAGCCTTTTCCCAGTAGCATCACAAGTGCTGTACAGATGCTGTTACGCAGCAAGGTGAATACAATAAAGCCAAGTTTCAATGGTAATGGCTGCAACACCCTAATAAATCCTAAGACCTTCAGACTCATACTCAGATAATGATGTTCCAGGTACATTTATAGCTTATTTATTTAACCAAGGGCAAAGTTGTTCAGACACAGTTTCATTTTCAAGAAAGGCCTGACAAGGCAGATGGCAGTAATGGCACAGGACAAATGAACTTCTCTGCTAGCCAGCCAACACAAAACACAAAACAGCTCAGGAGGACAGAGTGTGTGTTCTTAGGAGGAAACATAAACCAATGAAATGAAATACCTACTGAGCATTAATAAACCCATTATTGAACATTAATAAAATAAAAAGGCTCACTCCTTTACAGCTCTGGGAGTCAGCAGCTCCAGTCTCTGTGAACAATTTAGTGGGGCTGGAAGAATGATTTGAGGGGGAGAGCTGGGAAAAGAGTAAATCAGTAGGTACATTTTAGTTAATGGGCAGGGACTGAATATAGCTAAGGGCTGAATCAGCTGAAGTGAAGGTTGGAATGAGTCTATGAGGAAATTAATAATTCCGTATACAGAGAGGGGTTTCAATAGAATGCAGTAAATAACACAAAGGGACACACACTGAACAGGGAGGATAAAACAAATCATTGAATAGCTGCAGTATCCTCAGTCACTGTCCTTTGGCCTGAATGAGGAGGGGGTAAGGTAGAAAAAAATAATTAATACCATATCAGAATGAGACAGTATTAAGGTTGCATTTTTTCCTTATTTGAAGTTCCCATCCCAGTCTACTTGTCTTCTCAATCCTGACTGGATTTCATTTTTCCATGACAGACTTAGTTATTTCTCTCTCCTATATTTCTCCTTGACTACCTCGAGCCTCTTTCAAACACATCTCCTTTCGAAATCCTGCTGTATGCAGAGCTAAGGGACTGTATCCATATTTTCACTTACTTCTCCAACATCCCATCTATTCTCTGTTCAAGAGAGGGGCATAACAAGAAATTGCATGGAACTGATCTCATTCATTCAATGAATGAATTCTGTTCTTCTCTCTGTGACAACCTGTCATGATTCCTGTAGCAGAAAACAGGATATTAATGGTTTTACAAACAGCACAATTTTTTGTTGTACTCTTAAAATGTTGAGTCAAACATCAAATTTTGGCAGGGTTGCCTTGTTTCTCCAAGATTCCAGTGATGACTATTCTGCCTTTAAAAAGTGAATGCAAGACAAAAATTCAGGATTAATCTGGGTACCTAGAGACGTTTTGAATAACAAAGCTTTGAAAAATAAGTCAGGACAAATCAAGAAAACCAAGGTGTTTTTTATTTCCTTTCTGAATTTTGATTCCACACGGAATTTCCAAATTTTTGTGTAAGAAGATAAAAAGTAGGGCATGAAAATATGTCTTTATTAAAAAAAAAAATCTGATGTGGGTTGTTTCTTTTTTTGGTTTGGTTTGTTTTTCTCTGAGTCAAAATAAATCATACAAGGGTCCTTAAGATGAGACATAGCAAAAAGTCTTCAAACTCTGTGTATTTTGCAATGCTCCACTAAGTAATTAAAATCTATTAGCAGGGTTGTTGTTTTTTCTGTAGACACAATTATTTCACTTATAATTCAACATAGTTTGTAAGTTGCCAGGGATTTTTTTAACAGTAAGAAAAAAAGTCTATATGTATAGTTACAATATATATAGTTTTCAACCCTTAAAAATTTTACTCAATGCAATTATTTAATATACATATCTTATACCCGTGTCTTCAATTTTTTTTCAGTTGCTGGATGATCCAAACATGCTTTTATACCTGCTAAATCAAGATTGGGTGTAATTAAGAGAAAATATTATCTTGTAACTTCATTTTTTAAAGTCTCATTTTTATATGAAGTTATTTTTACTAATAACATTCATTTGGTTTTATTTAGTATAGAAAAATGCAGACATTGCCTTTATTTCTGTCCATAGTAATGTAAAATTTCGAGTGTGTATAAAATTACTTTCTTTAACATAGTTGGTGTCAAATTGCTAAAATCATGACACAAAGCTTCTGAATGTAAAAATCCCTGCTCCTTAGAATGAAACTAGGAAATAAAAGTAATTATCTACTGAGAAAGTAGATGTGATTCTCATTTTACCTCCATAATTGTAAATAAAGTAAGTGTAGTTAGCATAAAGACTTTTATAAGAAAAGAAGATATTCTCACTTATATCTGTTGACATATATCACTGCAACAGAAACTTTCAAGAAAAAATACTTCATTAATATATTTTTTCTAAATAAAATCTTACCTTAATTATTTAAATTTAAAATTATTTGCAGAACTGCTAGTTCTTACAAAGTCCAATTTTAGAAGTTAGTATTTCAGCAGTTTTTTCTTAGATTTTTGTTCTTTGATTTCTTATATAAAACAGATTTGTCTGTAACATTAGCTGAAACTCAAAATTATCTTGCCTAGTGAATATAATTTTTTTGTCATCCACTCAAGCAGAAAAAAAAAGAAATTAATTCACTATACTACAGTGTTTTTATACAACCATTTGTCTAGCAAAAATATAGGAAGGTACATAAACCCAAACACATATGTGAAACTATCTTAATCTCAGGACATATTTTTAATAGCACTTATTTTCTCCTCTGGGCTAAAAAAAGATAAGTTTAAGGTTCTTTACATTACTATCTTATGTGAAGATCTTTGTCATAAATCTATATGTCACTCAGATTTTTAAATTTTAAGCTGAAGGGATGATTTAAAAAAGTCCCAACATGTCTTGTTTAAATGCACAAGCTGTGCAGACACCTACAAAAAAGGTTGGAGGACTTTTGCTATCATGAAACATCGGTAGCATAGCTAACCTTGATAAATTGATCTTTTTGAGACGTATCCTACTGCAAGGTACTGACTTGCTGAAATCAGACATTCCATACAAGCCTTCCTTAACAGCTGGCCAGGAGCAATGAGTTCCTAGCTCATCTTTCTGAGTAGAATGTCGAAAATACCTTCTCCAAGGAACCAGTTTTCTTCACCAGAAAATAATATGCTTGAAGTCTCACTCTTTTGTTACATCTAAAAAAGAATTCTAGAACTCAAAGTGATGAAATCAGAGAAATATGACAATTAGTGTAGGTGAAAAGTAAGTGTACAAGGGGCCCAAACTACCAGATTTTGGTTATACAGCTTCTAATATTCAGATTGATAAAAACATTCTGTTGGGAATTTTATTTTTTTCTTGGTCTGTTGGTTGGTTTGGGGGTTTTTTCTCCTTGCATTTTCTTTCATTTATGATTTTATTTTTTCCTATGATTACCTATTAAAAAAAATAAAAGAGTTCTAGGAGCAGACCATCTCCTAGGTGACACATCGATAATGAGAACTATGATTAATTTTTATATCTATTTTGATGGGTGTTACAAAATTATACTTTAATGTGTTTGAGTTTTTTTCATTAAAAGACTGTTAGTCCTCCACGTCATTTTATTGAATTTTTTTTTTGCAACTGTTTGAATTAATCTATCTTAATTATGATCAGAGATTTCTCTCATATACATATAGCCAGTGAATATTAGGTATCTAAACTAGGCCAGTTGGTTACTTTTATGATTAAAATTTTATGATTTATTGATCTCAGACATCTACTTCCATGGGCTCCAGGAAGAACCTGGATGGTGCTTATACTATTAATATCCTTTTTCTGCAACTAAAACTGCTTAAGAGCACACAACAGTGAAAACAGAATTGACTTGATGCTCCAGATGAGAACTCACTAACTTTTCATTAAACATACTGTTTCTAGTAGAAATACATTTTCAGATACATTGTGGGATCTTTATTGTATATTTGTGTTAAACTGACAATTTTCTGTAGTCAGATAACCCTGGCCTCTCCTCCTCAGTTATTTTCTCATTTCCAGCTCTTCTATTACTCTCTAAAAGCATGAGTATGCCACTGCACTGTTAATTTTTTTATCTCATTTTTTGTCTCAAACAATCAGAAACATCTAGTTCTTGTACTATGGTATCTTAAAGCTCTCCACCAGAGAAAGAACTTTATAACCAGACTGACTTTTTTTTTTGGGTATGGGTTGTTTTGCATTTTTTTCCAAAAATCATTCTCCTGTCTTATTGGAATTAAACTTGATCAACTTCACCACACAAAAAAAACTTCAATTTAACTGAAAATATAATAATCCAACAGTTCTATCTTTGACACGTTTCAATATGAATGAACTTGTAGTTAATGGAATCTTTTTTCATCTTTATTTATGACATTAAACATGTGTTTTCTAAGAAAAACTTTGAGATATTTTGGTTTAACACCAGGCTCTGCTTTTCCACCTCAGGCTGACCTTTGACAAAATTTTCCATGACTTAACACAGAATTACAGAATTTGACCTTCATCATTCAGGAGCTACAGGAATTAGAAGTTTAAATTTTATCGGGGACATGAGGCATAGGCAGCATCCATCACCCAAATGCCAGTGAAAATTCCGTAATAAATGAGATAGAACTGCATATTAATCATAAAGTTAACATAAAACTGTTTAGGATTAAGACATTTCTTTCAGTGCATAGAATGACCCCCCTGCTGAGAGTAATAGAAAAACACTGCTGCTGTTGACTGCAGTGGTGATTAGTGTCACATGGTACATAAATACATATTCAGTAACATAGAATGAAATCTGACTTGGTGAAACCTAAGTTTCACACACAGAAAAATTAATCTTTCCATAGCTTCTTCGAAGCAATACTTTTCAGTGTATAACATAGCATACTCAAAATTTGGTATTTGCAAAGGAGGTCAGGGGGTGGGAAATAAACACATGAAATTAAAAATTATTATCTTTTAAAAGGCACATATCTATGTACCTTCTATTGATAGGGAAATGGAATTCTGCTTTTGATGAATGTTTCAATGATTTTTTCATACTGTTGCAGTTTTGAAAGTGATTTAAGTACTAACAAGTGTAAATACTGTTTGCTTTGCTCATCACCTGCTTTTATTACAATTTCAATTAAATCTGATGATTAAAGAATATGAACCAAAACTGATTTCAAGACATGTGTAGGAGTTTGGGGTTTTTTTCGCCTTTTTGTTGTTGTTGTTGTTGTTTTTCCTTTAATGATGGTTTTGGTCCATCTGCTGGAGCATATAATGCATGATGCTGCAGTTCAAAGTACTCACATTGTTGTTCATTATGTGTTCATTATCTTTTCCTTTATGGATTTTTCAGGGATGAGATTTCTTGTGATTTCTATCAGTCAACACAAAGTCACTCATTAGTTTCAAAAGCTATTAGAAGGAATGCATGAACTGTACGAAATGCAATGGTTTCTTCTTTTGTCCTTGTGGAACTTTCTAAGGCTAAGGGTCACCTTGTCTACCAACATATGCTTATAAGTTAGAGATCTAGCCTGAGTCAAGTACATAGAGCGGTATTATGAGTTATATATTCTATTATATGCATAGACTTTAGTATAGTTTTGCAGAGTTACTGATTTCTATTAGACATTTTCACATATCCTCTATTTTCTCCAGTTCACTGTCAGATAATATGAATAACTAGCTCAGATATAAACATCTTTAAGACGACTTTGGCAAAATTAATTAAATTCCTCAATCTGTATTTCTGTCCACAAAACTTTGATAAAATATTTACTATAAATAGTATTAAAGGGTATGATAGAGTATTTCATATTTTATTCCTTTAGCTTTCAGAAAGCGCTAGCATATTGCTTATTATCTAATGGAATGAAAATAAACAAAATACCAAACCTCAAAAAAAATTAACCAAACAATTTTTCTCATAGAGCACTACTTCCTCCTTAGGCAAAAGTCAGTTTTAGACAAAACATGGCACATTAAATAAAGCATAGCAAATGAGGCAGTTTGAATCATATTCAGAAATATTTACTTTTCTCCATTTTATAACAGTGCTATAATAATTGATAGTCTATTAAAATGCACATAATGTTACAAAATTTATAATTTCTTTAGTAATATTTCCTATTTCTTCACTCAGGTAAAATGCAAGAATGTTTATAATATGTATACCAGTACAAAGAAACAAATACAGAACATCATCGAATGGTTTGGGTTGGAACAGACTTTTAAAGATCATCTAGTCCATACCACCTGCAATGGACACAAGCACCTTCCAACAGATGACATTGATCAAAACGCCATTCAATCTCACCTTGAACACTGCTAGGGATAGGCCATCCTCAACTTCTTCTTGGAAATCTATTCTAAATCAACCCTCTTTCAGTTTAAAGCCATTACCCCTTCTCATATTACTACAGGCCTTGAAAAAAAGTTTCATCTTTCTTATGAGCCCCCTTTAAATATTGAAAAGGCCACAACTGGACAACCTCCAGTCTCGCAGCCTTTCTTCATTTAAAGAGAGGGTCATGAGGGAATTGGCTAATGTAGTTGTCAAGCCATATTCCACCATATTTGAAAAGTTATGGCAGTCAGGCAAGGTCTTCAGTAACAAAGAAGGGAAACATCATGATCATTTTTTAAAAGGGTGAAGAAGAGGACCCTAGAAACTAATGACCAGTCAGCCTCATCTCTGTGCCCAGAAAGACCATGGAAACAGATCCTTCTGGCAGGAGGGAGTTGGTTAGAGACAGGCAATATTACTTCACCAAGGGCAAATCATGCCTGATTATCTGGTGCTCTGTGATGGAGAGACAAAGGAAGAGCTATGGATGTCATGTGTTTGATGTCATGTGTTTGGATTTCTATAAAGCCCCAGGTACTGCCTCTGTCAACATTTTTGCCACTGCATTGGAGATATATGGGTCATTAATGGATTGAGAGTAGCCCTGGAGAGAAG